GTTAGATGCGTGTTGGGTTTCACTTAATAGAAGTACTGTACTGTACTTCGGAGATAGAAGAGAAAGAGCATTAGGGATATTTTTCTTACTTTCGGAATGTTTTGTTGGTTCTGTCAAATCGTGTTTCGACTCCCGGCTTATTCTCCAGATTACATTTTATTCTTGGACTAGGTTCAGTGTTGAAAAAAAAATACCCTTGGCGAAAAATAATATTTCACAACATTGACGAAAATTTACTCGAGTGACGTTCAGAGAACGGTTATTCCATTGTCACTTCGCCTGCTTATTCTAATCGGACTATTGCTCATTATTTTATTTCAATCTTGGAACAGAAGCCCGCACCTTGTGTAAGACGAAGCAATGATCATTCCGTGGCTGAAAAGTATTTCCGCCTGATAAATTGTGATCTCTTTCATCGTAAACTGCGGCAGTCGTGATCGCAGTTTCACTCGGCTTACAGAAACGCATTTCATGAGTTGCATGCACCACGGTTTTCTTATCCTCAATCGCGCCACAGGGCACCTGAATATCTCACTGCCTTTTCAAGGATACTTTCAAGAGCGAAATGAGCAAGTAAATGCTGAAGCGAAAAGCAGCAAACTGAAGTCGAGAAAGAAAACGCCATGTCCCTGAAGCGATTCATCCTGAAGGAGCTGAATATAATGGATCGTCGATTCGCTCGAGCCCATCCTTCCGATTTTGCTGGTTGTCTGAAGTAAAACAAGAAGTTCCATCGCAGTTTAAGCCATAAGACTGTCTATTTATTTTCTAATCCTTCCAAAAATGGTTCGGGATGAAATGGTCTACCCATGTGTAGCGAAGCATTTCTCGGTTTTCGAATGATGAACTTGCACCTGAAACGGATTGAGTCCATCAACAGAGGCGTCGTTGTTCAGTCTTCAGTTTGGCCATCGATTTTCGCTGTTGAATTTTCACAGCCCTGGTTTTTCTGCGGCTTTATTTTTTCTTTTATTTAACGGTCTTATTTTGTGCATCGCATTCTCTCTGCTGTCTGGTTTTTGCGTGGGTGGGAAAGAAAAACACGCGAAAAACCTTGGGGGATGTGACGACTAGGGAGTTCCTCGGGCGTTTCCTCTTCAAGTTATCTTTCTTCGTCCGGTCGCCGACTTCTTCTCTTTTACGAGCTTTTGTTTCTCTCGTCGTCGAGTGCCAGCGGAAAAGAATGCCTGTTTTTTTCTCTTCATTTTATTAATTTTTGGACTCCACGCGCGATGGAATGCGGTGTTGTTTCCCGTGTGCTGTTTTCTAAAGCCGCATTGTCTTTGATTTCCTTTTCCAGGTGTGCGACCGTATAAATGCGGCTTGTGCGAGAAGTCCTTCACGCAGCGATGTTCCCTGGAGTCCCACTGCTTGAAGGTGCACGGCGTTCAGCACAAATACTCGTATAAGGAGCGGCGTATGAAGGTATGCATCTCTTGTCATGAAATTTTTTTTTTTTATAGCGTTGACGACTTCTGGACGCATTTGCGCACTGAATTTGAGAAAAATAATATGGTGGATTTCTTCCGTGACAATGTCCGACCGAGGTTAGGTTAGGATATTTAAAAAAATGTGTTCTGCTCATGACGAATTCTATATGGAGTTGAATTTGGAGTTGATTTCGCGCGACAGCAGAAGAAAAAAAAGCTGCAGACTTCAATTAATTTGATGTGTTCGAATGCAGTTGAGAGATTATTCAAATATTTATTTGAATTACCGTTCAGTTTTTTTTCAACCTTGTCAATATGTGGCAATTGTTATGCAGGCTGCACCTAACTAACACTGCGAATGCAAAGATTTACTGAGTCTTATGCTAGATAATTTATCCCAACGATGCTTATGATTTCTCCTCTGACTGGCTTTTCGGGAAAAATCCTTCGTCACTTTATTTTTAAACTTTTGAAGCGTCATGAAGGGAAGTTTTGAAGAAAGGCTCAAAATGATAGATTTCGAAGTTTGATGACTGCATGAAACCGAGGACCTCCTTTGAATATTAGGCTGCTCGTACATTTGAAAACAGAACAGACAGTTTTTTTTTTTTTTTAATACGAATTCAAGCGAGCGGAATTTGAAGCTTTACTTAACTCATGCGCTTGGATCCTTTTCGTTTTGGTTTCGAATGTCACAAAACCTGAATTTTTCAAGTGCGGATCTCTTTGTTCTGACTGACTGACGTGTTTTGTTATCGTGTTCGCAGGTATACGTGTGTGAAGAGTGTGGACACACGACGACGCAACCGGAGCTGCATTACGTGCACTTGAAGGAAAACCATCCGTACTCGCCGGCGTTGTTGAAATTCTACGACAAGAGGCATTTCAAGTTCAACAACCAATCTTTCGCCAACATTCTGCTGCAAGTTCGATAATCTCCGGCTCGGTTTTATTTTATTACGTTTTTTGTGGTAATCATTTGTGTCGGTTTGCGTCGCGAGAGAGAAAGAGAAAGAGAGGCTCGGTGACGAATCCGCTGGGGGTCCCAAAAAGAAAAGAAGAATTTTTTGAAGAAAAAAATGAGAAATCACGGTTTATTGCTAGGCTTAGGTGCGAGGAAAGAAAATAGGAAAAAAGAAAGAAGAAAAACGTGGAGGAAAGAAAGCTTTTTGCGCCCTGTTTTACATTAGTCGAAGGCGTGCGAAGAGACGAAATTTTTTCCGCGGAAATTTTTTTCATTTATATTCCACGAGCAGCTTGCTGATGCTTTTTTTTTTTGCCTTCCTTCTCCTCCGTTTTTCCTCGTTCAAATTCAAGAATTTTTTTATTCATTCGAAAGAGAGACCAAGTGGCCTTGAAGGCTTCGCAGGAGTAAAAGAGTTAACTTTCAACTCTTGCGAAAGACTCCTGTGTGCCTCGACAGTGTGTTTTGTTGTTAAGGGGAAGAGAGAGTTTGAACAGGGGATCGGATTTGCTGTGATTTTTCTTTAGCTTCGAGTGGGGAAGAGTCGAACGCGTGGCCTGAGTGGTTGTCTCCGTCGTAAAAGCGTCTAGAGGGTTGTTTCTAGATGGTACAAATAGTTTTTTTTTTCTTTGACACCCGCTGAAAACTCCTTTTTATTGTGTGCGTCCCAAATTTTTTGTGTTTGATTCGGTGTGAGTGTATATACTACGGGTTTGTAATGGGCTAGGACACGGAGCAAGTTATTAACGATGCTGTAATTTGCAGGAGGGGATTTAGGAAAGAAAAGGAAAAAGCGGCAACAAATCACGAAGTCTTCCATATAAGTTGCCTGATTTTAGGAGCGATTTGCGAAACTGGATGCTTGCTGAGATCGGCGCGTCGCGGTTTTGCGTGTTGCCTTGAGTTCCTTGCTTTCAAAAAAAATGACTTTCTTGAGAGGCCTTCTAAGTTTCAGTTTGAAAGTGGAATGTTTCTGGCGATTTAATGTTGGTTGTGTGTTTGTTTTCTCCTTTTTTTCGTGTTGCCGTCGTAACGGTCGAGTGTCCTTTGAATCTGCGAAACGAGGCTCTTTCTTTTTTTTTTTTTTTGGCGCTCGAGGAGGAATATTTTCTAAATGCTGTACATCCGTTCGGAAATGGATCGATGAAAGAGTCTTCGTTGGGAACCCGATGCCTTTTATCAATTCAGTGATACGGTTGGTTCATAGGTCTACCTCTCGAGGGTCGCGACGATTCCCTTTGTTGATTTTTGTTCCCTCCTTTCTTGAAGGACCGATGTCTTGTTGCGTTTTTTGTGTGCCCAGGGCGACTTTGCAGTAGCTTGTAGTCGGTTTCACAAACGAGGTTTCTATTTTTTTCCTTTATTTTTCTGGGCGTTTCATTCCATTATCGAATCTTGCAACAAAGACTGTTGAGCCAAATCGCGATTATTCCGATTATGACCCTATGTACTGCAACCGCTGTGAAGTCTCCGTTGTGATACGGCTTCCACCAGGTCACAAGGAAGGTAACTATTCGCGTCCTATACTTCAATTGGGATAAAAAAGAAAACTATTTGACTTCGACCTCTATTTTTTTCGGGATTGTTGAGAGCGTTCATCGAAGGAGATGAGATTGCGATGAAAGGATTCGCTCCCATTTGGCTTTTGTTACTCGCTGTTTGATGTCCATTTTCTTGTGGGATTCCAACGATTTCTTCCTTGATCGCTGTACAGAAATACAGAAACGAGAATCTATTCCGTTTGGACGTGCACGTGTTTTTTTCTAAATACAGTATAACCGTTTTCTTCTGGGTATTGAAGGTTGAAGCGGTCATCAACACCGTTTCTTGAAGGAAAAGTGAATCGGAGATCATCATTCGACGAAAAGCGAAGAGAAACGCACCGATGATCATCGTATCTGTGGATCAAATGAATGTCTTAATTTCAAACGTCCTTTCCACGTGATGTACTGTAAAACGAACTCTTCCTTCCTAGAGAATTACAATACTTTTGACCCTCGCCATGTTTCCTTGTACACAATGATTTGTAAGACGAACTATGCATCATAACTAGTGTTAATTTCATGTCTGAATAATATTTTGATAAATACTCTCCTCAAGAACAAATGAGATTTTCCTGATCATAAGTTTCACTTAGCTTGATTTGCGCCACTTGTGGTAGTCGTTAGTCTATGTAAAGACCGATCCTTCCTGTTTTTAACAAAAGTTTTGGTACGTTCCGAACTTTAGCTTTTTTTTCATGTAATCACGACATGACAATGCGCTTTCCTCCTGTTTTTCACCTATGTGACATCCGATTTTTCGCAAGTTTTCTCCCATCTCATAAACAATAACTGATCAGCTCGGAGGAATCCTACCATGTTGCCTGGTTTAAAATTTATTGTTTCGGTATCACGCTCACTTCTATGTGTTTTACTAATTTAACGTTTTCTCGTTTCCACCTTCCTTCGCTTTTCCGTTCCAACATCTGCATGGGTCTTTCGCCGACATTCGATCGCCTCTGACCTTCTGGATTTTCATGATGGGGTTGAATGGAAGGCCGGGGGACGTTTGCGTGAAGCGACCACCGAATCTTAGTGTGACCTCTCCCGGATTCATGTCGGAAGCCACGACGTTCTTGGATCGGATGCGCAAGCTGACGAATCAGATGACGAAAGTGGAGGAGGTTATTCCAGTCAAGGAGACTCTTGCTGATGATGTTACGCTTCGCTATGCCCGAACGGTAATGAGCGAAGTCGTGTTCATTTACGCACCATGACTCTGAACCGTAGGTATGGTAGAACGTTTGAGTGTACAGTACAGTACAATCGGAATCCGGAGCGATTGCGTGCGAACAACGAAAACTCGTGGTTGAGGGAATTTAATTGCGAGTTCTCGTGGATCGAGCAATTAATTTTTTAATATTTTCATTTGGGCATAGTTCCCGAAGGTGGTTCGTTTCCTTTCATTTGTTTTCTCAGCAGACTTTTAAAAGGTTACATGAATAATGAGGGGATTTCTTGATACAACCTTTTTCAACAGACTTCACCGGCCTTGAGACATTCTATCAAATATTTGTTGATGTCATGATTCATGAAAGCTACAGCATCTATTAAAAATGACGATCAGGATCAAGAGAAGAGAAGCACGCATGCGGAAATGTACAGATTTTATGGTGCTCTTGAGAGACCAAAAATTCGACCGAACATTGCGTCCAATAAAATAATATTGTACAGTACAAGTACTTGAATCATCATAAAACACATAACCGAAGGCTGGAGGAATTTTGTTTGCGTGATAGATTATTCTGAATTTGCTCCAACGAAAAGGCCCGTGACATTTATTCAAATGAAAAAGTTGTCCCTCATTGACCATACTGTATATTAGAAACACAGCTTATTCTAGAGTCTGGCAGCAGTTATTGACAGCAGGCATAGATAATTTAAACGCGTAATATAATGTTTATTTCAATGGAGTCGCAATTCAGTTATTTTTTATTTGGCGCAGGAAGCGATTGCATACCAGTGAACCTGATATATTATTAGAGACCACCTACACGTGTGGTGCCCCGCAATTTGACCCTAAACGGTTGCCAGGTAAGGGTTGAATTTCAAAGTGGTTGAATTGTGAAACAATGTCAAACTCAATTGTTTTCTACATTGACTCTGACATTTTGAGTCTCCCTGTAGGTCAAATTGCAGGGCAAGAGGTTGAATAACAAGTTGATGTCAGAGAAAATTTGACTGTTGAATTGTTGGATAGTCTAATTGCAGGACATCAACTTGCAAGGCGTACCACCTGTACTATTTTGCTGGATCTTATCTGAGAGGGCAGGGCTAATATTATATTTACCTCTATCAAATAGCTGGCCTCTGTTATAGCAAATACTGCACAAAAATTTACAGTACAGGAATGCTGAGGTGATCACCAACAGTTGTTGAGTGAATCGACCAAATCCTGTTATTTTTCCAGCAACACTCACTGCACAAAGTAATACTCCATCAGTTACCTGCTTCAATTTTACTGTCTGCAAGGACCAAATCTTGAAAAAAAGGTTTGAGGTCATTCAATCAAATGGCTATTGCCTAAAGTCTACTCTAAACCACTGTTGACCTGTACACTTTGCATATACTGTATAATTAATGCAATATGCCCTTAAATTTTGTAAGAAGAGTTGGTTCACTTAATACGGTACCTTGGCTATCTAAAGTTGGAAATCTCCTCTTCGATATAGAGTTTAAGCTCAAATAGTGTGTTAAAATACACTTCGAGCCAAAAACATTTTTTTTAAGCGAAGAATTATATAGCAATTACCCGAAAGACAAACTCAGGCCAGTGTAGTATAATGATTAAGCATGGAGTTTTATTTATGTATGATAAGTTTATTGTATGAAGTGTATCACAGCACCAGCAGGACTGCCATTGAAATTCACTTATCTTATGTTTCCTATTTATTTCAAGGCCTTTGTCACAGAGAGTCGGATCACGGCCGAGAAGAAAGTCCGTCGCCTGTGTCGCACGAACCAGGCTCGGTTCTCGTCAGTTGGCGCGACGAATTGGTCGACGTCGCCGAAGTTGAGCTCCCTTGACGTNAGAAACGCACCGATGATCATCGTATCTGTGGATCAAATGAATGTCTTAATTTCAAACGTCCTTTCCACGTGATGTACTGTAAAACGAACTCTTCCTTCCTAGAGAATTACAATACTTTTGACCCTCGCCATGTTTCCTTGTACACAATGATTTGTAAGACGAACTATGCATCATAACTAGTGTTAATTTCATGTCTGAATAATATTTTGATAAATACTCTCCTCAAGAACAAATGAGATTTTCCTGATCATAAGTTTGTGAATCGAACTAAACGCGGTGAACACCATCAGCAATCAGATACATTTCTGGCTAGGAAGGACAAAAATTGTTTTCAAAACCATGCAAGGCTTGAAATCGAAAAAAAAGTACATTAGTGCTGTACTGTATGCGCTTTCCTCCTGTTTTTCACCTATGTGACATCCGATTTTTCGCAAGTTTTCTCCAATATCATGAACAATAACTGATCAGCCCGGAGGAATCCTACCATGTTGCCTAGTTTAAAATTTATTGTTTCGATATCACGCTCACTTCTATGTGTTATACTACTTTAACGTTTTCTCGTTTCCACCTTCCTTCGCTTTTCCGTTCCAACATCTGCATGGGTCTTTCGCCGCCATTCGATCGCCTCTGACCTTCTGAATTTTCATGATGGGGTTGAATGGAAGGCCGGGGGACGTTTGCGTGAAGCGACCACCGAATCTTAGTGTGACCTCTCCCGGATTCATGTCGGAAGCCACGACGTTCTTGGATCGGATGCGCAAGCTGATTTTTCATTTGGGCATAGTTCCCGAAGGTGGTTCGTTTCCTTTCATTTGTTTTCTCAGCAGACTTTTAAAAGGTTACATGAATAATGAGGGGATTTCTTGATACAACCTTTTTCAACAGACTTCACCGACCTTGAGACATACTGCCAAATATTTGTTGATGTCATGATTCATGAAAGCTGCAGCATCTATAAAAAAATGACGATCAGGATCAACAGCAAGAGAAGCACGCATGTGGAAATGTTCAGATTTTATGTTGCTCTTGAGAGACCAAAAATTTCGACCGAACATGGCGTCCAATAAAATATTTTACAAGTACTTTAATCATCATATAACACATAACCGAAGGCTGGAGAATTTTATTTGCATCATAGATTATGCTGAATTTGCTCCAATGAAAAGGCCCGTGACACTTATTCAAATGAAAAGAAGTTGTTCCTCATTGGATAAACTGTATACTGTATTAGAAACAGCTTATTTTAGAGACTGGCAGCAGTTATTGACAGCAGGCATAGATCATTCAAACGCGTAATATAATGTTTATTTCAATGGAGTCGCAATTCATTTATTTTTTATTTGGCGCAGGAAACGATTGCGTACCAGTGAACCGTTTTTTTTTTCTTGACCAAACTGATGTATTATTAGAGACCACCTACACGTGTGGTGCCCCGCAATTTGACCCTAAACCGTTAAACGGTTGCCAGGTAAGGGTTGAATTTCAAAGTGGTTGAATTGTGAGACAATGTCAAACTCAATTGTTTTCTACATTGACTCTGACATTTTGAGTCTCCCTGTAGGTCAAATTGCAGGGCAAGAGGTTGAATTACAAGTTGATGTCAGAGAAAATTTGACTGTTGAATTGTTGGACAGTCTAATTGCAGGACATCAACTTGCAAGGCGTACCACCTGTACTATTTTGCTGGATCTTATCTGAGAGGGCAGGGCTAATATTATAGACTTACCTCTATCAAATAGCTGGCCTCTGTTATAGCAAATACTGCACAAAAATGTACAGTGCAGGAATGCTGAGGTGATCACCAACAGTTGTTGAGTGAATCGACCAAATCCTGTTATTTGTCCAGCAATACTCACTGCATAAAGTAATACTCCATCAGTTACCTGCTTCAATTCTACTGTCTGGAAGGACCAAATCTTGAAATAAAGGCTAGAGGTCATTCAATCAAATGGCTATTGTCTGAAGTCTACTCTAAACCACTGTTGACCCGTACACTTTGAATATACTGTACAATTAATGCAATACTGTATGCACTTACATTTTGTAAGAAGAGTTGATTCACTTAATACGGTACCTTGGCTATCTAAAGTTGGAAATCTCTTCTTCGATGTAGAAATTAAGTTAAAATAATGTGTTAAAAATAAAAACTTCGAGCCAAAAACATTTTTTTTAAAGCGAAGACTTATATAGCAATTACCCGAAAGTCAAACTCAGGTCAGTGTAGTACATATAATGATTATGCATGGAGTTTTATTTATGTATGATAAGTTTATTGTATGAAGTGTATCACAGCACCAGCAGGACTGCCATTGAAATTCACTTATCTTATGTTTCCTATTTATTTCAAGGCCTTTGTCACAGAGAGTCGGATCACGGCCGAGAAGAAAGTCCGTCGCCTGTGTCGCACGAACCAGGCTCGGTTCTCGTCAGTTGGCGCGACGAATTGGTCGACGTCGCCGAAGTTGAGCTCCCTTGACGTCAGCGTGTCGCGGATCCAGTGGGAGATCAACGACTCATCGTCGTTCTGCCTTGTGGAACCCGGTCACGGTCCCGAACCCCACTTGCAGCGGCGTTCCGTCGTCCGCGGGCACCACCAGCATCACCGCCAACGGCGCCGGGATGGTTGGCAGCAGCAGAAGGACGCCGGGGATTGCTGCCGACACTGTGTCAAGGCCGCCGTCGGCAGGACGCGACGGAACAGTTTGGCCAGTTCTACTGCGGCGGCCTCTGATCAACAACAACAACAGCCGACGAAGGAAATCTCGAGGTTGACTTGCAGGAAATGCCACGAAGGTTGCTCATGGTTAGTCCCGTGGTCGTGGGTACTGATGATCAAAATGACCTGTTTATTGTGACGTGAATGTCGGGCAGATGACGCATGAACTCAAACTGCTATATTAACAATATGTTATATACTTACCCGTATTTACTCGAGTCCCACGTGTCCTCGAGTAAGAAGCGCGTCAGGGTTTTTCAGACAATTTTTTTTAAATAAAATTCTATCCGCGAGTTAGACGCGCATCACAGTTTGAGTTACTCTGAAATTTGAAGTTTTCAAGAAAAAGATCCAAAGTTGGGTTTCGACATGAATTGATCCTGAATTCAATTCATTTTCAATTATTTATTTGTAGGCAGTTTTTCTATTGAAATTGTTCCAACATTCGATTAAAATCAAATACTGTATAATTCACACCTCAACTTCTAAAACGTGAAAATTTATGCCAGTCTATATGACAAGCACATCCTCCCTTTCCCTATCGATTTTGAGCACACAAAAAAAACACGTGCGTGGTACACGAGTAAATACGGTACATCAGACTTCCAAATAATGTCCGTGCAATAATTCGAGGGAGCCCATTTTCAGATTAAACGTGAAGGCCGAAACATTTCTGATCCGAAACGCGGACCGAAACGCACAGAAAAGCTCAGCTATTACTTTCCATTTACCGTTAAAAATAATTAAAAAGTGCCTGAAGATTACGCAGACGATGCGAATTGCATGAAATTCGGAAAAAACTTGAAATAAGCTACGAGAAAGTGCCTGTGGAAAATTGTGATTCCCCTTCCTGTGGTCAAATTCTTGTGGGCATTGTTTCTCCCCGGACCCCATTCTTTTCCTCTCTACTTGATCTCGAATACAGTACAGTAATATACACTGCAAATTCAAGTTGTGGTAATCTTTCCTTGAACACCGTAGATAACTTTTTCCAGTGCATTTTCGAGGGGGTCTTCAACCTCTCAGCACATGGAGGTCTGAAGAACCTTGCAGGCATTTTCTACATTGCTGTGTGTGTGTAGCTGCCCGTAAACAAGTTCGAAGAAAAAATGAATGCAGTTTAAGTGCAAGAATTGTTTCTTGAAATGAATGGGCATAAATAGTGAAGACCAAAATCGTGTGGATTTGCTATTTATAAGCACAGATTTTTGCATGAGGGGTAAAAATACGGTATACTTCATTATAATTCGAATAGTTATATTAACCTATGCTGCAGAATTCACGGAACACCTGCACCATATTCAAGAAAATCTTGATGTCAGGGACATTTTGCGTCGTAAAGAAGTTCGAACGACTCCAGGTTAAATCCAAGCTAAAACTGGATTTATTTTTTTCATTTTTGCGAAGTTGAAAAAAGAAGGAATGTTGGTCGGCTGCGAGCCATTTCAAGACTCTCGAAGATTGAGTCGTTAAATCGAATAGCTAAGTTAATCGCATTGCTCTTCGTGTCCTGATCGTGGACATCATAATTTCACAAGTCAAGTCCTTGAATTCACCGATTTTATATTTTTTCAACGCTCAGTTTTGATGAAACGATCTCCGGAAGTTACTTTCTTTCGCAATGTCTGGATGCATTTACCGTAAAGTCACGTTAAAGCATAATTTTTTTTCTTCTTATGATTGACGAGTTCTGCGTTTTGCATTCTTCTTTTAATTTTTGAATACTTTCGTACCATCTCTTCGTCAAGCTATATGTGATCATGTCGATCGTGCTTAAGTGTGCAGTATAAGAGGTTTGGTTCATAAATTGGGAGATTTTTTGAATTAGATCCAACGGACTTTCAACAATTCCAAAAATGTTTATTCGCATAGTCCCATCATTTGGCAACAATTCAGTGCTGTTAAACATACTTCCTGTCGATTTCTGTGCATTTTTCATGCTATACAACGATTACAACCGTGCCGAAAATCGATTTATGTTAGTTGATCAGGCACCCTGTTGATTTCTTGCATTGAAAAATTCATAAGAAATCAGAGGGGAGGAGGTTCAACAGCACTGAAGTGTTGCCAAATGATGGGGCTATGGGAGTACTGTAAAAAAAAAGTTATTTTTGAAACTCCAATGGATCCATTTCGATAAGTCTCAAAACTTATGAATCAACCCTCGCATTATTATTTTTTAATTCTAAGTAAAGAGAATTTTCTATTTTACTTTCCATGGCTTAAGTGCTGCACGATTCTCTATTTTTTTTTAACTCGAAAGTTCCAGTGATCGCAACTGCCGCCACGTGCCTGGCGACGACGAAATGAACGACTGCGGCGCCTGTCGTCGCCATAAATCGAGGAAGTCGTGTCCCGCTAGCGACGACCAGCTGCACACCCGGTTCGTTTAAAGGACTTATTCGTGAAATGTACATGTGTTTTTGAGTTTGTGGCAGGGGTGTCCAACGTGTGGTCGCATTTGACCGTGAAATCCTAGCGAACCCATTTCAAGGCGGTCGGATAAGCATAAAAACTAGCGGAAGAAAAATGTAACACCACAATGTCTGAGAATTGAAACGCCGCTATTTTTTCGAGTGCAGTAAGAGATCCCTCCAAAAACAAGAATTTTTTTTTTCCTTTTTATTTAAATATTGCAGACCACAGGATTATCGTCAGGATAGCTCCAACTTTTTTGCGAAAAAATCCAGGAATTACGGTGACAAACTTTTTTGTTGAATGTTACGAAGATGGAAGATGTCACTCATTTTTATACAGAATCTGAAACTGAAAAATCTGCGGGTAAGGAAAAATGCCAGGGTGGGAAGATTTTAAAACGAAGAAGGCATGCTGGGTCCAAATAAATTTTATTTTGTCGTACTTGAAGGTATATGGCTTGTATTCGCAGCATGAAAAAAAAATAGGTCAGGGTCTCTAATGGATCGAGAGACAAGGTTGTTCATTTTTCTTGAATTGCCATCTTACCTCAAGTTGAATTTTATAACGCAAATTCATGCAGATTATGTACAGTACTTGGTTTCAGTTCTCATTTCCATTTTATTATTGTACAGTACTCAACTCTCGCATAGCTTTCGCAAACTCCGCCCGAAGATTTTTTCGGAATGATTCAGTTATTAATGATCAAATTAAATTGCATGAAGGTTCCGTGGAGAAGTTGAATTAATTATTGTTCGCACTATAACGTCGTAACTTCTTGTTTTCACCTTGATTTAGATTCAGAAAAAATAGTCAGAGGCTCCCTGTCTTCGCATGCTTCCTCGAGAAATGCGTATTGAGTGCTACAAGTCCACAAGTGATGGCTCGTTTCACACCCAAGTTCAACAATTTGTTACCAAGGGATGTGTTAAATTAATTGATGATTTTCCTTCTGACTCTTTGCCAAGCAGAAAAAGCATGTCATCCAAATTGCGGATGTTGCACCCGAGTGACGCGCATGCTTGGACGCCGAAATTAGTTCGAGTTTTCGACAACGGAAGGCATAAAATGGTTGTTGTGATCTTGCCATCTTCGTCCAACAAAGATGGTGAGACGGGAAATGACTTATGATTGTTTACTCTCCTTTAGTTATTTAAATACTTGCATTCATCTAGTCCTGACGATTTGGTCTATTTTAGTCAGCAACGTTCTACCTATAGTAACCCTTTCCTCCCTTTCGGCAAATGCGATATTCAAAAATGGGACTCTATAGAAATTCAATAATTGAAAAACACTGCTATTATATACCTAGAAGTGAAGCTACAATTAAATATTATGGATACATATGTAGACTACAGAAAGGCACGTTCAGTTTTTCTTCGTAATATGTAATTAAATTTGTTTCTCGTTGCTGTATTGAATTGACCAGCTCGCCTAGCAAGAAATAAAATACAGTTCTGGAAAAATATTTTTTCGAGGGCCCTTATTAGTCTTTTTGGGCTTTTGGTGTCCAGTCTGACAGTAAACATGCTCTGAAATGATTCCCGACTCCTGAGTAAATTTGAACGATTTCAACTCGAAATTAGGAAGTCAGGCTTGGAAAGTAATTTGAGAGATGATAAAAAATAATACTGTATTAGGATTCAGCCGGGAGCAATAAACCAATCGTACAAACAATGCTCTTTTTTATACGCATCCTGAGAGTTGAACCTTGAACAAATGGTAAATTCATTCCAAGTTTCGAAAAATACCCATACTGAGTTTCTGACGTTACTTCCGGAGCCCCTGCGCAGAATAAAAACTTGTAAAATAAATTTTCAGATGAATCCATAAATAAAAGCACTTGGACTCTCTACAACAGAATTCAAGGGACCAACAAAAAATTCGTCATTAGTTGAGAGAATTTTGTTGTAGAAAATCTTCAGAATAGGGGAAGAGACCACTGTAGAACCAAGATATCGTCATACAGAAAAATATCGTCGTAGAGTGAGTCTAGGTGTATTAAAAGCGATCACCGGGAAGTTTTCGGGACCTGGCATGCGTCGTTCTTCTGCAAAAATTTTGTTGCATTTATTGAGGCTCAGGAAGACAATATGTATTGAGTAAATACAAGGATCCTGTTTAAAGGGGTTTATGAAGAAAAATTTGTCTCACAGAAGCTCAATGTACTGTTGAACCTATATAACTTGACCCTTCTCAAGTCAAATAGCTCCTCAAATCAATTCAAATTTTAAAGTTTCCGTCTGGATTTCCCTAGGAACCATGCATTAAAAACCTCTATAATTTGAAGGATTTTCCTCTCAACCTCCGTAACTCAAATTTTCTGAATCTTTTGGCTATTATTATCTTGATGCAAAATTATTATTCTCCTTGTGCAATTCTAAACTGGAATTGGGCATCAGCACTTGGAGACCTTTTTGAGGTCAAAAAATGTACCTAATTACAGTTGAACCTCAGTAACTCCAACCTTTTTAAGTCAAATGCCTCCAAAAGTCAAATTTTTTTACAAGTCTGTCTGAATTTTCCTTAGGAACAATGCATTCAAATCTCTCAAAAAATGTAAATGCTTTTCCTCTCCGGCCTTCATAACTCAATTTGCTGAGGCCTTTTGGCTTTTACTTCGACAAAGGATAGAAAAAAGCAATGAAAGCTCAACAATGTGTGTTGAAAGAAAGTGAAAGACTATAATTGGGCAAATGAACCCTTTACTCCAATTTCAGCATCCCTTTTAACTCACCAAAGAAGCAATCTAAGTCCCAGAATATCACCATTTACAATTTCCTTTAATTCTTCTCTCTTCATCGCAACAAAAATGCTTATTTGCACTACTCAACACCTCTCTAACTCAATTTTTTTTGCTGATCCCTTGAAATTCAACATCAAGAGGTTTGACTGTAATGAAGATTTGAATGATTTCACCTCTTTGTTTTTGAACACCTTTCACAGTCCAAGAAGATGACAAAAGTGCCGCAAACTCAGGATCTTCGTTGCACGTCACCTTCAAGGCACACAAGGTGAAAGCGACCTTTGAGAATGCTGACCAGCAGCAAAAGCTGCAACCCGAACCCCCTCCCGATGATGCTCGCATTAAATTCCAAAGTCGCGGATGTTCGCCGCACGGTCCACACGATGGCGACACGGCTGCCGGAGGCGACGTTGAAAACAATGCTTTCCACTCTGTGCCTAGAGCCAGTGTCGTCGGCGGGGAGTTGACAATCAAGCGCAGTGATTGCGACCCTTTCTTCACTGCGTCAGAGAGCGAGGATGACGACGGTTTTGCGAAGAAGGCAGATGAGCTGGTGCCGGTGATTTCCCCGTTGGCTCGGATGAGGCGGATCAAGTGCTGCTCGACCGGAAATCTAAGGCGGAAGTTGGTTCGGGACGATGCGGCTCAAACTGCGTTGGAGTTGCACGCAGTTGAGACCATGACTGACAATGAATTGTAAATTTTTGAATGTACCTGTACAATATTTTTGCATTGTTTTCCCTTATCCAAAACTATACTCCAGGAACCGAAATTCAAAGATTTTCGTGGCTTCCAGCACAAAAACATGAATCGGTCCTAGCTTAGTTTCCTGTTAGATTCTGCTATCTTGAACACTATTTCCATTGAAGGTTTAATTTGTAAAAAAAAAAAAATCTCCTCCTGAAAAAACGAGAAATTCTGCTTTACCTACAAAAGTGGGTGTAATTCAGCAGGTATTTATGAAAATGAAATTCCGGATTTTTGCTTGACAAAGAAATAAGGAAAATGTGCGAGATTTCATTAACAGTTATGTTGGAGCTTTTGTACTCCTTTTGCAATGTTTCCCTTGCGTTTGAAAGAATGACTGTTTCTAAAATTCTTGAATTTTTAACCAGAAGTTCGTTCTGTTGGAAAGGTTATTGCGCCAGAATTGTGAATTTCAAATGTTTTTTTTTTTTTTTTTTTTTTTTTTTGTTTTGTGCGCAAGAATTGTGAATTTCAAATTTTTTTTTTTTTTTTTTTTTTTTTGTGGGCTGAGACAAGCCAACAAAAAGCGGTCAAGGCGATGAAATGAGCTGAAGAAGTCTAAATATTTTGTATCGATCGGGTAGGGAACACAGATGACTGGGGTTCATCAATAGAAACCCCAGCTGATGAAAAAAGCTGGAAGTATAATTACAGTACTCATGCACGAGAAAATGCAATAAAGCGAGTTGAATATTCGAAGCTAAATTTTGTTGAACTACCAACTAAAACTACCAATTCACGAGCCAGAAGATTCCACACTCGAATGGGGAGTAGTGCAGAATTAAGTGGTGAAAAGGGGAGGAATATGCACTCTTTAATTGTTAATGCCATCTCTAATCTGAATAAAATTGCGAGGTCTGCAGGATGCCACATAATTGGTCAGGCAGCATTTATTGCTGTAGTGAGAGCTTTTCATCCTAAATTTCACGATTTTCATGCAAAGTGCATCCTACATTCCTAGGTCATTAGTTTCCGATCATTCTTTCCTGACATTCTCTCTCTCTCTTTATTTTATCGTCAATAGGGGAATGGAGCGCAGTGCGCAGACGTCTGCGAATCGCTTCGCCATTTCCTCGACCGGAACCCCTGACGAGAACCCTTTCCCGTGCCCCCCAGAAACCTCGTCGACACTCGACGCCTCACCGGCGACGCCATGCCATCAACGCTTCGACACTGCCACGACCGGTGCTTCGTCCCAATTATTGCCGCACTGTTATGCGACAGCGGACGAACTCGAGTCGGAATCATGCTCAGGTTCTGTCGAGTCCATGCCGCGGAGCGATGTCGACGAAACGCCCGGAATGTCGGGTGATGACGATTTCGCGGATGTCGAGAAGGCGGAGTTGGGATCGACGCTCGTGTCGACGCGGAAGGAAGACTACTTGACGTGTTGCAGTGGCGTGACGACCGACACGGGACAGATGTCGGGTTTGGAGCGCTTCCATTCCGTGGGCGACAATGCGACGAGGGAATCCAGCGACGATGACGTGAGCGTGAACCGTGAACAGGTACTCGTCTGATCTTCAAAATTTTATCTTTTTCGATGCATATTGAGAATCCGAGGATTTTGAACTTTTAAGGGGTCTTGTAGCCCGCACTCATCAGAAATGCGCAGTTGTTTGAAACTTGAAAATAGAGTACTTGATGAAGTGTTGCCGCGTTTTTGAGACTTCATCCATTATTTGTCATAAGACGGAAAGCCTATACTGTGCAATAATTACGATTTTTAAAATGAAGCAGCCAAACTATAAATTTTGATGGGATATGTCCTTTAAAATCTCTTAACTTTGAAAATTGGCACAGTTTTTGAACCAGTCTGACTTAAATTCTGGACGCAATGCAAGCCTGTGTTCAGGACAATTCATCCATGTACTGTACTGTATTTCAGAATTCAGGAGTCGTAAGTACCCTCGTTATACAAAATACTTCAAACCCCTCCTCTTAGCGGGAAAAACCAAAAATCTCGAGAAAAATTTAGACAGTCGGAAATTTATAACTATGAAAACTCAAATTCCAAAAGATTGAGTCTCGAAAAAAAGACCTTCGATGCCTTTCAGAAGACTGGAAGACTCGAAACATTTTCTAAAGGATTTGAATTCCAGCCCACTTATTTTTTTTTAAGAACCGGAATTTAAAAAATGGTTTGTTTATTCTTTTAAGGGTTTATGATTGAGTACTTCTGTTGCTAGTTGCACACGCATTCAAATAACTCCAGGACATAACCAGTCCACGACTAAATTATTCGTCAGCGACATTTAAAGGTTGTTCCGAAAAATCTTATATTTTATTTTCATTCATGTTACTATTTACACTCGAATGCAGGTTATCCTATTTCTTAGTTTCTGTTTCTTAAATAAAAAGGTGGACCTTCATTAAAATTTTCTAAACAACGTTTATCCAGAAGAATGTTATCTGATTTCGGGTGCAGCCACTTGTACGGTTCTTTTTCGAAAAGTTTTTTTTAAATCGTGCTTCAAGCTTTCATTGCCAATTGAAAGCGGGATTCCCCATTCTTGGAAAACATTTTCACGCCTTTTCTGACCAAAAATAAGAATTTTATATTCATAACTTCCTAAAATCAACATATACTCGTATGTTTAGTTTTGACTTCAGAGTAGCTACAAAATTCATCTCGTCTCCGTTGTGCGCAACTCAGACGTCAAACATGCAGTTTTTAAATGTGCTCTGCATTCCTGAATTATTGTTCTTTATGCATTACAAATTATTTCTGTGATTAAAATTTATTGTATAAAGTCATTCTGCATCTGGAAAAAGGTGAACCTGTCGTGGAACTCGATAGTATCATGTGTCAGCCGTTACGATTCCAGCTCAATCATGGTTTAACGTTACCAAAGCTGAACATCGTTGATTTTTTTTTTTTTTGCTTTTTCAGCACGAATCAGCGTCGCTGGGCCAGCACTTGAACGCACCAAGGGAAAATGCATCCAAATCTGCGGAAAACCTCTCTCGCGAAGACGAAATCGCAACAAGAGAATCGCGAGTCTCGCAGTACGGCAGCAGCGAATGCCTCCCTCCGAGTCCAACTCCAGCTGTGGAAGATATCACACATGCCGGCCAAACCCTTCGCCAATCTTCCTCCGGCTCCCTTTTCCGCCATCGGTCGTCTCATTTGACCAAATTCTTCCCGGATTCCTCCCCACACGACGTCCATCTGCTCACTGATTCCACCCCGAATTCGTCCCGCACCGGAATCCGATTCCGCGTCGGGCAGGTGCAAGTCGGGATCAAAGAAGCCCTCGGCACCCATAAGCGACGACAGCGAGTCTCGGAGACGGTGGACGAAGCAGCCAGTGCCATGTGTTCATCTGACAGCTTGCTCATCAAGGTCATAGAGCAACTGAACGAGCTGAATGCCCTGCAAAGACACCAGATTGAGCTGACCAAGGCGGGCATGTCGTTTGTTTCGAATCCGCGCGACGGCGTGAACGCTGATTCCTCCGCGCTTCTGAAACCATCCAATGAAGATGTCGCTCCCTTGCTTGCCATGAAATGCGAACAGAAAGACAATAACGACGCTGTGACTGTCCAGCAGCAAGAGGAAAAGGTTATTTCTGCTGAGGACACGAAGTTAAGCGACTGCTCGGATGATGACGACGAGAAATCAGAGTTACTCAAGTCGGAGGATGTAACGTTGCCGTTTTCTAGTAGCGCAGTGGAGAAAAACTGGATTCCTCAGCGTTTTCGTGAAGGTGGGGTGCTTTGACCCCATATTCCTTCCTTTTTGGCGTTACTGTGGCATTTTAATGTGAGATGGAAGGACCAAATTGCTCAGAGAATTCCTGGAATAACTCTACCGGGAAAAATTAATGCCATGACAGGAAAAAAAAGAGGAGCTGTGTAGTAGTTTCAGGAGCGAAACGAGTAGTTTTTTTGGGGCTGTTCTTTCGCCAATTTGTGTTCGGTAGGTACGTATACTGTAGTTAACAAAAAAAATACCAGCGAAAAAAAACATCATGGTCAAAAACATGAAATAAGCATTCCGTCAATGTAATGCGGTTCGATGGACGCTGTGATGAGTTTAAGCTGGTGAATTATAATGTGCGAGGAATTCCTGTTTATTCACCAAATTTTTCATGCAGTACCGTACTTGAACTGAATTCTGTGAAAATTACTTCGGCTGGAATTTATGTTCAATTTGATATTTTTGAATGCTATACCTTTATTCTTTGTCTTTTAATGATTCCTATACTGTACATGACCATTTGAAATAACTTTAATGAAAGAAGTTGAGAAAGCCGGGAGAAAATGAAATTTTTACGAAAACATCTTATAAATCATGGATACTGATTTAAGTCAATTTTACCTTCGAAAAGGTGGCAAAATATCACATGAAAAGAAGTAATTCAACAATTTTTAATAAAAAAAAAACTGAATCAACGGGTGTCATGATCATGCTGTACGATGAGCTACTAACTTATCTAACTTATCATTTTTAACTACAGTATAATTTCTTACTACAGTGCTACTACTACTAACTCCAGTTTTTGCTGAAACTCCCAAAATTGTTGGCCGTTACAGGAAGTAGCAGACTTTCATGTCGATTAACAGCTCTGGTCAAATGTTCTAGAGTTGTTGAATTTTCTTGGTAGTCCGAGTCTCTCACAATAGTGGCCGTACAGTGGATGAAGTGCAGGACAGCACTGTCCTGCACTTTATCTGAATATCCGATGCGTAACGAAGAATAATAAAGATAAGCAAATATACGTTTTCTTTCTTTGAATGAAAGCTTTCTTACTAAACATTATCGATGCGGAATTGGCGGAGGGTTGGAGCAGGTTTTGTACAGTATTCCAGAACGTCAACCCAAAGTAAGAGAAAAAGCTATGTGCGTGGGAAGCGACACCTGCTTTTTTAGAACTGAAGTTAATTTTATGCAGCTTCGGCTGAATCTCGCAAAGGGTCGGTGCACGACTCTTTCGCTCCTGCAGTGTTGCAGCGCTCTTACACTGAGAACATGTCGAACGCGGAACTTCATCCAAGGATCCTAAATTCTGTGTCAGAACGCCTCTTGATCGGTGTGTAATCCACCGATTGAACTTCAGTTTATACAAGAAAACCAATCGTCTTACGTTATATTCAGCCCCCGTTTGTGTTCAGAGTGAGCAAAGAACTCCGAACAACTCAGCCGAAGAAATGTCACGAAGCCCTGAACTAACTTCGACTTTCAGCTTTTCACCGTTTTCTGTTACTGCGAAAATGATAACTGACGGTGAAAAGGACAGCGGGTCGGTGGCAAATTTAGCAGAAAGTAAGATTTTCTTTTAACTACCGGGGTTTTTTTCCGAATCCGCTAAAAGCGTATTTATTCTTCTCAGCTCTGTATGTGGTGCTAACGATTTTCACGCGCGATTCAATCCGATAATTCAATCCGATTATCAACAAGACTTACCAGATCATTTCGAATAAATGTCACCTGAATTTGCATCCAGTGCATTGCTGATGGTTTCCTATTCATCCATGATTTAAAAGTTGAAAATCTCCTGCTATGTTTCATTATCTAACTCGACAAATAATTTGAATGACACTCTAAATTGCAAATGAATTGCATGTGGAATTGAAAATTTCGAAGTTATTCCCTATATTCAAAGAGGATAAAAATAAAAACATCTTTTAGTTTTACTTTAAAAGAAATGATGGATGCATTCATCGTTCTAGAAATTTTAGAAATTTAAATAAAAATCAATTAATATTTTCAAGGAGCGGTCATTGTTCTTAAATGGGTAGCATTTTTCTGTGACATATGGCTGATGTTGCAAATACTTCTGGTGTTCAGTCTGTTATGTAACACTTATACGTTTAAAACACTTTTAAGAGATTAACATTATTGACGGATTCAAAGTTTCATATCTCACTGGCGTTCGAGGTGAAAATTTCAACCGCTTTTTTGTACCTCAGGAAGCGAGAAAATTTCTGGAACGAACTCCATTTCGGAAACGTTCGCTGACGACGCTTTCGACGTCGACAGCAGCTATTTGGAACCCGCGTCGACAGTATCTAGTGAGTAATGGCACTCTTCTCTTCTCTTCTCTTCTCGGGAACAAAGTGGAAAAGTCCTTTTTCTTCTTTCTGGATGTGAACCGTAAAATAATATCGTTTTAAGCGAACGGATTTAAGATAGTTCTGCTGTTTACTATTTCCAGTAACAAGGAATTGTTCTGACATTTCGAAAGCAAACTTTGTCTACAGAAGCGTCGACTGAGTCTTTGACGCACTATCGTAATGTGTAGAATTAATTCAGGGAAGATTCAACGTTTTTGAGGATGTTTTCAATCATAAGGCTATATTAAGGAAAACACTTCAAATATTGCATCTATATTTAAATCTCGATTCGTTCGTATTTTCAGCTAAAAATCACCTAATTATTTTGAAACAATTAAGAACTTCCGTCTGACCGTATATTGCTGGAAAAAGTTTGTATAGTGCTTATTGAGTATAAATACATAAATTGACTCCTTTAACTTTTATTGAAAACGGTTGCTTGATAAAAGCCAAAAGCTTTGTTTGATATGTTTTAGACTATCAATATCGAATCTTCCTGCAATAGACGTGCTCTTTTGATATTGGTCTTCTGCATTCACCCGACTGCAGTTAGCATTCCTAACTCCCCAAAAATGTCGATTTCTTGATTTGACTGATTCTAATCTTCAATCGACTTTTTTGCGTTGGATGCATCAACTCAAGAGCTAAATATGTATGCCTGCAAAGGCAAAAAGATCATCCATTTTCCAATTACAGCTGAGAAGTGTTACTTGACTAGATTCATATTAAAATGCTTTCAATAAGCCGGAAAATGTTCGATGATTACAGTGGTGACTTTCCATGAAAACAACTTGAACGAACTGTGTGATCATTGCTGATAATGGGGCTCGCCGGGCAAAAACAAGTCGCTCGCATTTTGGCTGCAATCTTCTTCAATCTGCAATTGAAATAATTTCCAAAAAGTTGTAGCTGGTTTTCTTTGTATACCTGTGCTGTTCACTGCTGTACTGCACTGCACTATAGACGGGCTACCTTCGATTTTTCAGGGGACGGTGTTGAGAAATTTTGAATACTGCACTGTATCAATTATTTTCAAGGGAGAGGCAAAAGAATGAAAACGAAAATTACTCCTATACGAATTGAAAAATGCTCAATTAATCGTCATGAAAGCATTGCCTGCGTTAATTGCCAGTATATTGTTGGTGACTTTTTTTTTCTGCAGAAAAGCCTGATAAACGCAGTATTACAGAACAAGATCATTTGTTCATTAGGGGAAGCACCACTGCTTTCAGAAATTTCCGTAATTCATAAGCTTTTCCCATCTCATGCCCCTTGATGATTTGGTCATTCTGCCACAAGTATTTTCGCATCTCGTCAGAAGCCCGGATCTTGGGTAGCAGTCAGTCGCAAACCCGGGCTCGCATGCCTGGCATTCATGCGTCCGTCATCCCCAGCGATGCTTCGTCTTCGTCTGACGGTCCCATTAACTCCCACGCCTCCGTCACCCATCTCAGCGACGCGTGCGGAAACGCAATCGAGAACCCCGAAGAACCCACACAGCAGGGTGCCGGTGTTTGTGAGGAAGAAGGTAATTCAAGTCCATTGCATTGTTATAGTTCATATTTAAACCGAATGTCATTCTGTGCTAATTGGATAAATGGGTTCCATCTCCGTTATTTTTTTTGTTAAAAAAAAAAAAAAAAAAAAAAACGAATCAAGGTATATAATACTGTACGAATGATTTTGCTTCTGCATGCATACTCGTAATTGAATCTCGGTTGCTTCGAGTTGAAGGAAGAATTATGCCACATTTACTTGAGAACCATCCACAACTTTTTTTCTTAAATTGTGTGTGAATAGCGTGAATCGGATGCACGTCATACTTGAGGTCCCGACAGCCAATAAACAGGATAAAAAATGAATTGACTCTTAATTTTACTTTGAAATTTATGTGTGCCTTGTCGTACTTGAAACACCAAGGAATAATTTTGAACAAAGACTATTTCAAAATATATCATACAAAAGCTGGAAATTTGATTATGTGCACGAATGGGTGGGAAATTGAATCGGTTTCTTTGATTTTGTGTTTCATACTACCTTCCACTTGTCTCAGTATGTCTGCTATAATTGTCTTGAATACTTTGTAAACGAGTATCATTTTTAATTCTATAATGAATAATATTAGGGCTAAAAATGGGAAAGATACAAGTATATTTTTGTAATTCGCTAAAGATTTCACAATGAAAATTTCTAGCTGGAAAACGGCTGTGCTTCTCTTGTGTGTGAATCGCATTTTTACGTAATTCGTCGTCGAAAAAGTGAGGATCCTGTCTTAATCAAGTCACGTGGTAGATCAATTCTTTCATTATGGTATGAGTGGAATTTTTGGCCCAGTTAATCAGTTTTATATTGTTATTTTTTGCTGAATATTGAAAAAATCAATTCAGTCATTAATTCAAGAAATCGACAGCCACTAGATAGGATAAAAAATGAATTGACTCTTAATTTTACTCTTGAATTAAAGCTTTGCTTGCGCTCATTCATATTGAAGAAAACCACGGTGTTGAGTACCAAGGCTTCCAATTGAATAATAAATCATGCCGGAGAATGCCTACATTTCAACTACAGTGCATGCAGTACAATCATTCTTAAAGTTCGTTAAAATTTATCAACTCAAGGATACGTTGTGAAATCATTGTTTGATTTCTAGAAATTATCGATCCGCATCTCTCGTTGATTCATTTTTTATTGTTTTCAGGCGATTCGCCAAGAATCTGTGAACAATATACGGCTTTACCCAACGGTGGGAGTACTCCTGAGATATTTTCAGATGAAGAGAATTCACAATTTATGTTTCTTTTCAGCCGAAGTAATTTTTCCAGTCGAAGGTCAACCGGAGAAAACCCATCTGGTCACTGAAATCATCGAACGTCGACTTGAGATTCAGCAACAAACATTAGAGTGAGTTCTGAAAAACACCTGGAGTGTTTTCCGCGTTTTACTTGAGAATATTAAGGACTATTTTACCAGAGGATTCATTCCTGCACTTTCAAATCCTAACCTCTATTTTTTTAACGACATATGTATTTCATTTGTTTCAGACTCGCGGCTGTAGAATCCGAAAAAGGTTTAGACTTCTCCGATTCCTGTCGGTCGATGTCGAGCTTTTGTTTCGGTTCAGGGATCGAACTCGGCGAAACATCGTCATCTAGTTACGAGGAATTTGATTTAGGACCTGGAACGATCAGGAGAAGTGACAGTACTGGAGAAGTGCACAAGAATCACACTTTTCTCGATTTGACGACTGGTGATGCCCGAATTGAGCCGATCGTTAACGACGATCTAGGTAAACTTTTTTGTAGCATTTTCCTGAAAATTTTCTCGCCTGTCGATGATTTATTTTCAAAATCATCGACATAGTTCATAAATATGTATTGCTCATGCATCCATATACAGTACAGTACTTATTAAAGTCATGCGCTTGCTTTTCTGGAGTTAAGAACATTTCTTTTTCTTTTTACGTTTCCAGTGTTTTCATCTTAATTGTAATAGGAAAAGCAGTTTAAATTGAGCTCAATTCAGTGAAAGTACGTAAGATTTACTTGATTGTAAATTTGCAAGAAACTTATTACAGAAAATATCGGAGATCTGAAGCCCAAGTTCCAATGAATCTCCGAGCTGTTCACTCGGATGTTCTGATGCTGAATATGAATGTTTTCTTAAATTGAGCCAAGAAATTGCCCAAGTCTGCGGTGCAGTAAAAGAAACATCAAAGAAAATAACAGTAAATAAATAACACGCAATTTGGAAAAAGCTTGTATTTTGATCATGTCGCAAAACTTGCATCGTTTTCGAAGAAATGTCCCAGTCGCTGGTGTGGACAGCCTGGATTGATTATACGCCTTATCTTCCCCGCAATAACGTTTATCACGCGAGAAAAAAGATAAATACTTCGCTAGTTATTTTTTGTCGGGTTTCTGTGTGAGCATTTGTGACGCATTTTCAAACAAAAAAAATGTCTCGCAGATCGATGGAACTCTGATGCTCACCAGTCTGCGGGTGATCCGCGCCTCGAGCCTGATGCCGCACCGAATCCTACGTCTCCTCCTTCTCCGCAGTACATCAATTGCGTTGTCAGCTTTTCCGAAAGCACGGAATGCACTTCAACGGTATACATTATTTTATTGTTGTAATAATACAGTGAGACCCTACATGCGGACACCTCAACATGGGGACAATTTGACATAGGAACATTTATTTTTCAATAAAAAATCATACAAGAGACCCAACCTACGAACACGCACACAACATGAGGACATTGCATGATGAAATTGCCAATACATTTTCGTTTAATTGACTTTAAATGCTTAATTGCAAGAAACAGATATTTCCAACCCTAAGAACTATGCAAGAAAAATTCTTTGGTACTTTTCCCATCACTTTCCCATCCATTCAGCTAATTTAAAAGATTACCTATAGCACAGAGGTACTTCCTTCTCTCTTTGTGACTTGGATGTTATTTTTACAGATCCCAAGATTTCAAGGAACTGTGCAGTGGTATGCTACTCAATGCAACAAATGTTCTTATTGGGTTAAAAAGATATTCACTGAATCAAATTCAAGTGGCAAACAAATTTTTTTTTCATGGAATTCTGAAAAATATTTCCTCCATAAAACACCAGTCTATGGGAAAACAAAACTCGACTTAGGGACAATTCAACTTAGAGACACTCTTGATGCACCAATATGTCCGCATCTGGGGGTCTCACTGTAAATGCAATAAAATGTCCTGTTCTTTAAATTTTTTGGAAATTTCGTCTGTGAGAGAAGGGTTCTGAATCTGATCTGAGAAGTTAGTTTCATGGCTAATCTTGAAATGTCTGTAAACCGCGTCTGGGTAAATATTTCGGTCAGCGATTTAACGCTAAAAACTTGTAAATAAAAAAGGAAACTGAGAAAAAAAAATGAATGCGACTCAAATTTTCACGAACTTTTTTCCTAGACGAGGGATTACCTTAAAAGTAAATTCAAGTACAGTATATCTTTTACTGTTTCGAACAGTTTCATGTTTTGAAGAATATCAAAATTTGAGGAGAAAAGTCGGATTTTTTAAAATAACTTCTAGCCCTGTAACTCAAATGTCATAGTACAGTGACCATAATTTACGGGAAAAATTGGAAGTTGTTACAGGAGTTGGAGGCGTTCGGTCCAGGGTTTTTTTTTGTCCCACTTCATGCTTTGTAATACAAAAAATTTCAATTCCACTTTTCACCAACGATTTAAAGAATTTTTTCAAGCATATTTCCTGCCGAAGTTGTTTACTAGCATGGAAATAGATTGCCACTGGTTTCAACAGAAAATCCTCTCCAACCCAGAGGATAAAAGCTCAATATTACGTCGATGATATTGACAGTATCAGGAAAAATTGTTTTTTTTCCACCGAGGGTTATCAAAAATCGATTAAAAAAGCGCTGCTTAGAAATGTGCCTTTATAATATCGTTTTTCGAGGGTTTTTCGGAGTTCCTGAAATATCCTAGGAAAATTCTCATAAAACAGGGTCATAGAAACAAAATCGTTACAGATTACCCCTGAGGCGAGTTATAGTGGGTCAAAGTCGAACCGTGGGTCCTTGCTGAACATCCAGCAAACTGTTTCCGGAGAATTTTTACCCGAGAAAACACGCGGGTTGCGGGGTTCGAGTCCTGCTCAAGTCTTCCACCGTCCGCACGAGAATATTCATCGACAAGGAACTTACGAGGTCGTCGTGGGATCACAAAGGAATCCCAGCGGATCCGTCATCAAACAGAATGTGGTCCTCGATCCCACGAAAACCACGGAATCGGGGTCCTCGAGGTGAGAGCTCACGAGGAAAGAAAAGAGAAATTCTATCGGGGAACATTCATGCGTTCCAGATGCTGGTTCAGGGTCAAATACTTTTATTTACTATTTTTGTTTCATTCTTGGTTCCTTTTAGCTGGCTACTGTATATGGTCAGCGTCTGTCCAGATTAAGGAAATTGTTTTCTTTCTATATTATCCGTCTGCTTATCTTTGTATCTCCACGACTCAAGTTGGAGGGGTACTAAAGACATTTTCTAGAATATATCTGGAAATTGTCCAGCTATTAATTCTTTTCAATTTCTGGCAAGGTGTGACAGAAAAATACGGCCATGCAACTATGTTTTTTTTCTCCGCATTAGATCGATCATCCCTGGCAGTTATTAGATTGTGAGTCAGAAAATAGTAAATTTATTAACTCGAAGGGTTTATGAAGAAACGTGCCATATTCAATGTCAAGTTACCTTGAAGAGCCAGAAATATCTTGAGCCTCCATTAACTACGTATTCCCCGATAATCCTTGAGATGCCTTGTTCGGATCTTTGACTTTTCAAGAGATCCTTTATAGAAAAATATTTTTTTCAACCTATTGATGCTCCCAATTTGTTCTTGATCTGGCATCATTTTTTTTTTTTAGGATTCTGGTTAAGGTGGGATTGCAGGTCTTAAATTTTAAGGACTGGAGCTGCCTTTCCCACTGATTAACCTGTACTTTTGATTGATTAATCGCTGTTAATTGTAGTGAGGGTCTGCAAGGCCATCTTGTGTTTAATAGGTAAATTTATATCTAATTGTAAGAAAGCTGGCCAGTTCTGTTGTATATGCAGTGTATTTTGGCATTTAAAACAGTTGTCTCTGACCTTGCGATTTTATTCACCTGTCGCATAGATGTCACCTGAACCTGATTGTGCAGTATTCTAAGAGCACCAAGTTTCATCTGACTATGTTCTGCGTGGTGGTGATTCTTTACTCCTTTCACACATTATGAAAAGCAATGACGCGCATAAAATATAGATAATTTTTATTGAATGGTTTGAGTATCTAGGCTCTGTAGATCGATATCGGGATGGATGCATGATACGGGGTTTGCTTAACTTTTAAAAAACAATTCCTTCGTAATTTTGTGTGCTTAATTTCCTTCGGTCGCAGTACTGTACTGTACTTTGTTTTCCCACCACCAGGAAACCTGAGAAACTACGTTTATAGAAGCATCTTGTAATATGGGTACTGCTCCAGGTCGTTCGGGTGGAATCAAGCCACGCGTGAATGATGAATTGCTTCTTCATCGTACCCTCACACGCACGCGGGCTTCGCAATTTCTGCAGATCCGCAGATTTCTTTTTATTTATTTTTTTCTCTCCAGAATTCCTTGCCATGTACGCGCTGTTTATTTGGCTTCCTCGTCTTCATTGTTCGATGGCCGGGCCTTTGATGTTTTCTTGAATGTTCTCTATTCTAGGATGACCTTCGGGGCTGTCGCAGATCGACGCAATTCCCCAACGACGTTGACGAATCATTCTTCGGGCCAAATCGGTGAGAGACCAGATCCTTTTTCCACTTGTACACATACCTATATATACATCGTACCCCTTACATTCAGTCATATCTTCCTTTGAGCAACTTAGTTCGTGAAATTCCAGAAAAAAACAAAAAAATGATATCAAGTGTTTCTCATATTTGTTTTAAAATAAAACAGAAGACCAAAAGCAAAGTGAAGGTTTAATGGATCTATTACTAGATGAGAGAAAATTCACGCGGTAGTTATGCAACAGAAAATAAACAGCCATCTGCTGGGAATCACAGACATCGGCTGCTGCTTTTAAAAAAGGCAGATTTTTTTTTTGAAAACTTTATGTTCGCTTGATAGCAGGCGCATCCTTACATAATCACAAAATTCTATTATTTTCGAAATTCGAAATACTTCTCTATCGAATCATAAATACAACAGGCAAATGTTTTTTTCTGGGGGCGGGGGTAAAATTTGAGCACTTCTGACCTTGGAATATATGAATTCTAGAGAACAACGATTGGAACTACTGTTAAAAATATTGTGCAATTATGTCTTGTTTATTGACTAATATTAAATGTACATTGGGCAGTTAATTATCCGGGAAGTCTTCCAACTGAAAATTTTTTAGCTATTGTTGGTGCTTAGTTGGCTCCAAATCCACAGAAGATCCCAAGATGGTATTGTGAAGCTATGTGAAATGGGTAATTTATTTAAAATATCATGGAAATCACCTTGGATAAATATACGATGCGAAATGAAAGGATCACTCGGAATATCATGAAATAGCAATAAAAATACAAAGACACGCCTATGATCGACACAGTATAGAAAAATTTAAAAATGCTTTTACCCTGCCCATCAGAAGAATACTTGTCGGCATATTTCATGAAGAAATTTCGATTTGTTGAGCAGCAACTTTTCACGCAGTTTTAATGAAAGAAAAACGAAATAGGGACGTTATGAAAAGCAACCCGAGTCGCACGTGACGAAAATACACTCGAGGTGTATGGTATACGTATATACTGCTATAATCGCGTTCATCATCGGTCAGGTCACCATGGCGCAGTTGTCAATACTCGTCGCCGAAACGTTGCCAACTCTGATGCATGCCATTATTCATTATTTCTGCATTTGCATATGCCATCAGTCGCGAGTGATCATGCGGAAGAAGCTGTTGTTGAGTCGGAACAGCCTCAGCCTGTTCCACTGGCGACGTTCTACGATTTTCATGTGCGCGACGCGGCGGAAGAAATCCACTTCACGGATAGCAACGATTCAGTCCCAGCTCCGGATCGCGACCCGGTTTTCATCGAAGTAAACTTTTGTTTTCCCTCTTTCTCGCTCATTCAGTCTCTCCTTTTCACATGCTGCTTTCATTTTTGTTGTTAAAAGCTTCCTTAAATCGAAAAGCTTCTTGCGTGCTGTATATAATTTGATGCGAAGGACGCAAAAATTACGCAGTCGCCCTTCTTTTTTGGACTTCTGAATATCTCGGCTTGATGCAGGCCGAATTGATGAATGGAGAAAGATGCCAGGATTTTGTGATCTATAAATTTTCTTCCTCTGCATGGACAAAGCAAGTTTTTTTCTTTTGCGATGAGAGCATATTTTTCTCAAGTTTTCACTTCGAATCCAAAGCTTTGCAGAAAATAGATAAGCAATAATATTTCGAATTTTCTGTGCGGATTGTTTTGAGGGTACGTTGTTTTCTCATTTCTCGCGACGGCGGCGGAACTTCTTTCTACAGTACTTCAGCTATTCAGTATCAGTCTGGTTCTCTGTAAAAAAAAAAGCTCATGATTTTTCAGCATTTCTACTGCACTGAAACTTAAAACACTGAGAAAACATTAGGACATGATTTTTTTTTAGAACTGTAAGTGCACCCACTCATCTTTGGAATGAATTGCGACTGATCTATTTCAATTAGTTTGTTCTGAAAAAAATTTGAAATAACTTCATCAAACTTAAAGGATACAAGATCGAAATTGGCAATTATATTTTCCCGTTTCTGCAGCTTTTGTGTCCCGATTCCGAGAGTCCGTTATAGTGAACTGACATATACAGTATTACCTTTTTGAGAATTTTCCTTGTTGTACTTAAAGTCTCCTTGACACATTTCTTGTAACCATTTTATCTCCAAGTACGTGTGATACGTGTACCTCAAATTATACATATCAGAGAGGATAATAAAGCAAAAAATAAATCAATAGGATTAAATAAAATAATTGGTTAGCCGGATGTTTCTCAGAGATTCTTCAGATCAAGAGCCTGCATAAGCTTTTGGTGTAACTTTTTTCAAGTTCTCGAGTATTCAAGTTTAATAGAAGCTTTTTCCAAGTGTATAAACTACCGTGAAAATGCATCTTCGATTTTGAAAAAAAGCTGTCAATCTCGGTTCTTCATATACTGACTGAAGAACACAGAATGAACAGGTTTTTTTTCTTCGTTTATTGTTGCTTATTCCGCAACAACCAAAGCATATTCACTCACTCACTCAAGCGATCTAAATTTAATGGAATGTCGAAAACGTCCCGGGCTTGTGGGTTATCGTATCTGGAACTTTCTAGATGATGAACCTTTACTGAACCCCCCTTTTTTTCTCCCCCGCTCTCCGATGTACCTTTTCTTCTTCTGGCCAAGAAAGAGTAAAGATGAAAAATCGAACTTCCGCAGAAATCCGCGCACGGACCGGATCATTTTTCTTTGGCCGACGAAGAAATGAGCTCCAGCGGGTTGAGTAACGAGCCTCAGTGGTCCAAGGGCTCCAGGGTGTTCTCTCATCGTCGACCCAACGACACGGAGGTTCTCATGTATCTCGACGACACTATTGCGGATTTGCTTTGCTTGCGAGCGATTCGGATGCGAGTTATGTGGGTTAGTTATATTGCACACACATACTGTACACCCGATTTATTCCCCCCTCTCAAATTTATTCATATTTTGAACGCATCACGACGCCTTTTTAAAAATTCATCTGGCACGGCGCTCGAATCCGGACATCAGTTGTCTGACGAGTTCGGATGCGGGAGGATGATGATGATGACGCAGAGTTTAAAAAAATAATATATGTACAGTATATATTCTTAATGCTTCCGTCCTTCAATTTCTTCGAGCTTGACGTCATCCTAATATGATCTTTTTGATCCAACGTGATCCAGCGTAATATGATCAGAAATATCTGAAGAGAGCTAACCTTGTGTGCGACCTACATTTGAGCACTTGTGGAACGGATTTAAAAGGTTCCTCGAACGTAAAAGCTCAAATGTAGATGTCTTCATTTCCTCTTTATGACCTCTTTCCAATAACATTTTACCTTGCAATTTCAGGAGATGCGATATTTTTTAAAAGAACGTGCGATCACTTAAAATCATTTGAAATGTGTCGAATGTCATGCCGTTTCATCTATGATGTATGGCTGAGATGCGAAACATGGTGGAAACTAAATTTACTCTGTAGATTTAAGAAAAATTTGCAACCTGATAATCTGGACATTTCTAAAAGCTCTTGTCTTACGCAAATCACGTTGGGCTAATTTTATGGGGCATCTTCCAGAAACTTATGCTTTTTTTAAACTATGATTATATGAAACCACACAATTGAAGATTATTTTTCAAGTGCGTTTAAAGTTCCATCCTACGTAATTTTTAAAATAATTTTTTTTTGTAACTGACAAAACGCTGAAAACTAAGGTGCTTGTCTTATGCAGAGAATTTTTTTTTCAAAATATTAACCGACAAACCAAAATGCTAGGGCATATGCGGTACTTGAGTTAATGCAGTACTTGGCAATTCTTTTTCAATTGAATGCTTATTCAGGCACAATATTCTCTCTGAACTGTTTTCTAATTTCACTTCTCTCAAGGAATAAAGTACAAGCAAGAACCATCGAATAAACGAATTCCTAATAAATTTCTTTATAGTTTTTTCTAGGCAGATTTTACAGTACAGTATCCTATTACGTCATGACTTAAAATGACTCAGTCACATGTTCCAAAACGTTACTTCATCAAACTTTCTAGAACGCAAAAATACGGATTAAATGCGAATGTTTGAAGAAGGAGCTCAAGAAGGTTTTAAAATGAGGAGCAGTCCATGCATTATACAATTCCTGCGACATCTTTACAACAGCTAAGAAATAAAAAACAAGTCGGGGACGCCAACGTAAAAAGATCAGGTGTGTTTTCTTTTCGAGCTTCATCTTCATTATTCATGTGCGTATGAGCAAAAAATGAAGCTTGTAGATGGCATGACTCAAGACGCAAGTACTGTACAGGTATTCGCTCAGCCTCTATAGTATGTGCTTCATTTATTTATATGTATTTTTTCCTATGTCCGAGCGAAGAGTGGTGGTTCTTTTGATAAGGGCCTGCTGGTGATACCGTCCCCTTTCATCCCGGTGGCTCATTTCCTCCTTTTTTTTTATTCACATAGTTAGAGGACTTCACACAGAAGGAACAAGAACTGACCCACTACTTCTACTACATGTGCATGCGAGAGGTTCTGCGTCGAGCCAAACCTGTCGTGGACAACCACCGGCTCCTGGACTTCCGGCCCCTTTTCACCCGCGGAGAGGAACTGGAAATGGTACTTCTGCGGACTGTGCAGCGGAGACAGGAGATCATCGAGTCCATGCCGAGCCGCCATTCCTCGACGGCGTCCGTTTCCGTCGACGTAGTGGGGTTGTCGACACCGCCGCCGCCGTCGTCGTCATCATCGTCGTCGTTCGACCAGCGACACGGATCCGCCGCGTCCAGGATCGCGGAGAGGTGAGAATAAGAGAAGAGCCGAAGGTGAAACTCATCGGGTTCCCTGATTATTTCTTGCACTCTCAGGGTGGCTCAAGAATTATTTCTGTTGTTGAAACAATTCGTAATTGTATTCACGTTTTTGTGACCAGAAATCGATGAAATAGAATCGAATCTTGTCAAGCCAAAGTTCTAGTGGATCCCTTATCAATTCTCTCGACACACGGTATTTTTAATCTCCGTAGTTCAAAATGTTGGCTCTAATATCTTTTAAAACTTTCAAGACATTTGTGGTATACAACTAAGATGAGTTTTAAAGCATCTGTTCCAAAAAAAAGAACAGATGCAAATACTTTTGAAAATGTATGAAGCTACATCTTGCGGGCAGAAAATCTATTAGCAACTATATTTTTTTACTAATTAACAAGGCCAGAAAGTTATTTGACCTACGCAAATTATGTTGTAATTCCCGAACTCAAAAATTCAGCTGGATTTTTTTTTATTCATTCATAATTCAACAGAGAGGCTCAACTACTGTATTATATATTCATGATGAAGATAACATCATTTCCTGTGGTTTTTTAAACTGAATATGGAGATCATTGAGAGATTGCTTGAGATATTAGGCTTGTCTTCTTTTTCAGTCCAGCCCTGACTGAATTGCGTAAATTACTCCTTATTTTAATGGAATTTTTATTTTCTCAACATACCGGAAATCTAGAAAAAAACGAATCTTATGAAACCTTTTTGCACTTGAAGGTGATTTTCAGACGTGGGATTATGTCTCAACGATAAAAAAAATATTTGAAGCATAGCTGACAGACGGCTTGACCATCCTGAGAACATGGAAATGTATATATGGTGCAGAATATTTTCTTTGTTACGATGCCATTGTATCTAAATGTTAACTAGACTGTTCCTAGGAGGTGATAAAATACTGAATTCGTCTTTCGTGCGAAAAATTCATCATAAAACCAATAACCCCCGTACCAAAACTGCAAAATAAAAATTTTGTATGAACAGTGAGCTAACCTTGATTTCCAAAAAGGGTGCAGCGGTTCTCTACGAAGTCTACATGCTCAAAAGTCATTTATATTTTGGAGATAAAAATAGTAGAGGTATAATATTGTTGCTTGGTTGATGGCTCTCATCCTGTATTTTTTTGAAGGGAATTATTCACCTGCTTCTTACTGAGAAGTTGCGAAAAGCTTGGACCATTTTGTGTGCAAATTTCTTGCACATTTATTTCTCTCATTTATATACGGATCCAAAACCACACGCGTTGAAACTTGAGCCACGGGATTCGGTTTGAGATGCTACTGTACTGAATACATCTCCATTCATCGGAATTCTGTATATTCAGACGAAAGCATACCATTGGCAAGATTTTTTAAACCAAAACTAACATGGATATTGTTCATTTTCAGCCTATTCGACTGTATTTGTTAGATGCTTATTTTCTGAAGCAGCTCTGCGGAAACCTTGGCATGTGTTCTGCCCTTGCTGAGCTCTCTATGGCTTCCGCTCGGTTTAAATCGGTACTAGTCCCTTCCAAGAACTCCGAAGATGATTCTCCTTGATCAAATAAATGGGATCAAAAGTTTCGACCGCCGCTGTATTTAAACGTATTCAACTCAGTCCTCGTAGAAATTGTGGTGACAGGTATTGCTCTGGCTTCCAGTATTGGGAAGGGTTAATTTTAAACGAGATTGCTGCTGCAAGGCGTTATCTATTTTATTTTTTTACTGCCGCTCTGAATGGCTTTGGGTTTCGATGTCCTTGTCCTTGTTTTCATGACCCAATGAATCGCCCTTGATTTATTCTAGCTCCAAGGTCATTCTGCTCACAAAGAACTGCAATGAGAAACTGAAATTTGTGTTGGAATTTATTAATCGCTTCAATACCGGTCAATTTTCTTGTACTGTACTTGGGATCTGGAAATTTTTCAGCATTTACCTGCATTCCCTCGTTATTAACACAATTTTTATCACTTGGGAATTCGGCAGGCGTCATACCAGGGAAAACGGTATTTAATGAAAACACGTTTGGTGTGACATTTCAGATTTTCTGAGCTAGTTTTTTTTTAAACCCCCTGCAGTCCTAATGTAGAGAAGCAATAACAAATTAAATTCGATTGAAACCAAACTTATGCATCGAGTCTACTTATATTAAACTTTTATAATGTTCTTCATTTGAAATTTTGCCCACGGAAAACGGGGGTGCAGAATCGCCCATCAGGACAGGTTTTTTTTCCTGAAAATTGCAAGTAAAAATGTAGAGTTGCATCTGGTTCTTGTAAAAATATGGAACAAAAGCTTGTGAAAAACTCATCTGTGATTTTAAAAAATGGAATCCGTGTGATGTTCTGCAGAAACTCCCTATTACAGCTCAATTTATGTCGTGGTATTTGAAAGATATTAACAGGAACCATCGAAATGAGAACCTTCCACTGTGATACAAAGCTGCGTTATCTTTTGGAACCTTTTCTGAAAACATTTTCAATTATTTTACTTGTGTGCTTTGTTGATGATATCCCTGGAATTTTTTATCCTCTCGCAGCAAGTTTATGAATGAATAACTGTATTGTGGGCTTTAAAATATCTGATCGATCTTAGCTTTTTTTGGATCATAGATTAATATCCCACATGATGATATTTTTCTTTCGATGCTTTGAACAGCCTTTCTGGTTGCTCGTGAAGTTTTCAATTTGTACATTGTTTTTTTCAATCCGGGTTCAGCTTCGGTTTTGCTTGGGAATAGCGGTCACGTTTTTTGGAAAGTTGGAATTCTATTATATGCGTGCTGTGCGTGACAGTCGCCAAAGAATAAATCCACAAAGAAAGATCTCGTGGATCGTTTCACAATAATACATCGTGTCAGGACCAAGTACTGCATTCATCGCTGTGAAATGTTGTGGCCTTCACAATTTTCTGCTGAAACGCAGACGTTTTGACTTGCGGAAACTTCTATATTATCAATTTCCAGGGCAAAACCCTTTTAAAAACCGATGCAGCGGAACCTTCACGAGACTAATTTTTTGTCTTCAGAGCCTAGATTCCCTCTATTTACCTCAGATATCTTTCGTTTGAACTGAAGTACCACATGTCCCGTGAGTGAGACGATGACCTTGATTTTAAAATATAATTTGGCGGAAGAACTTTTGCCAATTCAAGACACGCCTCAGTTTTCTGCAGCTAGAAAATTTTTTTTTAAACTGCAAAGGGCACGAAGATGAATTCACGCTCAAGTGAAAAATAAATTCTATAGATTTCTTCCATAATGTATTTTACTAGGTCTACCTCTGAAAAATTGATAGGTAAACTATTTTCAAGCAATTACAACAGACAAAAACGGAATTAGTACAAGTATGAAACGTTTGTTTGATCCCATGTTGATATTGTTACATTTTGTACGTTTTGAAAACATCTTTTTTTTTAGAAGTGCTCCCCTGTTATTTGAGCATATGTCATGGACCCTTATTTTGAAACTCTTTTTGGAAAACTCTTCCACAAATATGACGTTTTGTATACTTTTTTTATTTTCACAGAAAAGTGCGCGTGGTACTCAATAAAACAAGTACATTCTGTACTCGTTCGCGATTTTTCGTGTGCTTTATTTCAGGGTTGAAGAACCTCCATCATCTTGGCTTTGATTAGAATTTGCATTGTCATACTTTTCCATCAAAAGTTTGCCTATCCCCCAAAGGTATAATTATGCATTATTACGCGCCACTATATAGTTGCAGAAAGCAATGATCTACACACACAAGTGTTCCCCAACCTTTCTGAGCCCAAAAATCTGGAAATTTTCATAAAAAATTTTTGAAGACCAGCAATTTTCTTGAAAAATCTCTGCTAACTGACAAAAGTGTAATAAAATTGTTTCAGACGCAAAATTTTTTTTGAAAGACTTTATGCTGGATAATATTTAAAAGGGTGTCTTCTTTCTTGCAAAAATTAACCCTACAACCAATGAAAGCAGCTTTAGTAAGATGTCTTCAAAAATTTAGAAAGGTGGGCTTGAAGAAAAGTTTCTCAGATTGGAAAATTGAAAAAATTATATCAACAGGTGAAAATTTGTCGGAATCGTTACTAGGAGAAAAGCCAATTTATTTTTCCATCAGATAATTTCAATTGCCATGATCTTTCCGAAATTTCCGATGAAAGATAGCAGACTTCATTGCTTTACTTTTTATATATTTCTTATGCTGAAGAAATTTTTTGTGGACTGGTGCTGGTCCTTGGACCACACAGGTTGGGGAACCCCCCCAGATCTATAAATGATCTGGAAACAACTCGTGCCATATCTGTCTCTTGGCAGTTTCGTTGACCTCGCCACTCCACAATCGAATAGATTCCGAGGGCTTTATTATCTTCCCTTCTTTCGTGTCTTTTAATTCTCCTTCGTTCTGACAGACTGTTGGTCTGTTGCGATGAGCGGATTTACGCCTTGTTTGTGCTCTGCTACCGGCGTTGGGAAGAACGTGACAAGCAGCCTCGCGACAGACGGAACCCGATCACCGGCCAGACTGCCTCGACCCTGGACACGTTCAGCTGTTTGCTTTGCAAGTACGTGCGAGGAAACAGTGACCCCGACGTTGTACTGCGTCTGGAGCACTCGGGCTACTTGCCCTACCTTCGCCAGAAGATCCTCGCTCTGGCCACCAACTTCAAGTTAGTTTCTTTCATTCTTTTTCTCCCACAGCGAAGGCGTTTCTTCGGATATAATATCTCATTCAGTACTGTATTTACCCGAAATCTTGAAACACAGATTTAATTTTTTTATCTCTGGCGAAAAATCGGGCTGGGAAAAATCCAGACGCACCTTCATTCGATGGCGCATGAAACCGAACAGAATTTCTTCGGCTTTTGAGAATCTTAGCTATACGGAGAATCCCAGTTTTATTTACGTATTTCAATCAGTTTATCAACATCAGAGAAAATGTTGATGATTACTTCATGATTATGACAAGGGACTCGAATCGGCTTTAAAAAATTACGTATTAATCTCGTAAACCTCTGTAAAACCCAGAATAATAGATGCATAATTTTTCAAAATCTTTTATTGTGTATATTTTGCAGGTCTGTGGAAGCTTGAAGAAAACTCATGGATGATTTACGGGGCTTCGAGTGGTTGAGGTAATATATTGCTCTGATGGAAAGTGAAAAATCGCATAATTTCAGGAAAGTTGATCGTGGAAATTCCTCGCTCATGTTTCTTCGTTCAAAAATGTCGAAGAACGCTATTTGAAAAAAAGGGTTCCTCGCCTGACTAAATTTCGTAGAATTCCGTCGAGGTTTAATAATATATAATTATCTTTAAAAGTTCTACACGTCATAGAATGCGAAATTATTTCCATCTTCCACCGTCAAAAGTATTCGTTAAAGTAAATTCTTAGGTACAGTCGTATGAATCAAACCTGCATTGCGGTAAAGAAACAGTACTTTTTCTGTAGTTCTGAGAAGCGTTCGAAAACAAACGATGGAAGATATGAAGCATCTCGAACTCTGAAGAGTAGAAAAAGTTTCTGGCCTCCTCGAATTTGAAATGAGAAAAAAAGTAGCTGGAGAACAGGAGACGATTCGTCAATGTTCCCATTTCTTCATCGTATCGCTGTTTAAAAACACTTTCAAGCGACAATTTTCAGCACATGATTCGGAGCTGGAACCGCCATATTTCAAAATTTCCGTCACATTCTCGTCCATAGTTGAGGCAATCAAGCATACAGTTGTTCAAATATACATATAAAACTTGCATTCCAAAAAGATAACAATTCATCATCTGTTGACATTGATAGTTCGCAATGGCTATCTTGTATGTACATACATGCAGCCATGAAGCATCACCAGCTGCCAGCCGAATATCTCTGATGTGAAATCGAATGGTTCAGTTATTTGATGCATCAGTTTTTCTGTTGATTCTTCGAACTCCTTAATTCCAAGAAATTGCTTCGGGCCTGGGAATGGCATCAGTAAACTGCACCGCCAATAAAATCTAAAATTCTCTTTGAAGGTTTTCCTTCAGTTGAAAAGGGCGACGCAGTTCATGTTCTTTAATACTGCGACATAATTGGAATAATTTTCCAGATGGCACTTCAAAGTCTGTGTAAGATGTTGAACTGTATTTGAGTGCATTTTGGCTCGAAATTAACGCTCAATCTGATTTCTTTAAATGCCTATTATTCTGATCTTCCACATTGTAGCTGCCCTGGCAATAAGAATAATTTGCAGTACAGTACAGTACATGCACTTGAAAAACTGTGATAAGATAACTTTCCATCCGAATTACACACGGTAATCTCAAACGGATGCAGAGTATAGGTAAATTTGAAATCCATACATTTTCACTGATTGAACTTGGAAGGAACAAGGTTTCTCCTTTCGCGTGTCTCTGCAATTTTACTTAATTTAATTTCAAAAATGAGTGACTGAAAACTGTGATGAACCTATATTACATTCATTGAAGTTTTATTTATTCGCTGATTGATTCGTTTAAGAGCGTCTTGCATTTTATGGTTTCTTGAATTTTCAACTGGGGTTCTCGGTCACTTCCGACAACATTTTTTTAGCAATGGCATTTGTGCACAAGACTGAATTGTGAGTCTCTTTAGTCGTAACAAGGAAGTCTATGCCGATTTTTCTGAATGAATTCAAGTCTGTGAATGTTTTGCATTAGAGGCCAACTGTTTCACAAATATTTTTACTCCGAGTTGTTCGATTGTAAGATGCAATGGATTAATCCATTAAATACAAATTATAGGAATAAAAATATTTAGGAAACATTCGGCCTCTAATGCAAAACATTCACAGACTTGAATTCATTCAGAAAAATCGGTACAGACTCCCTTGTTACGTCCGAAAAAACTCACAATGCAGTCTTGTAGTATGTATCATGCAGTATTTTCTTGCATGTCTGGTGAATCAAGAATGTTCGATGAAATTCTGAAAATTTCAGGTGAGACGAACCCGGGTCGCTCTCGGGAAAACTCCCTGAACCCGGCGAAATGAAACAGAGCGAGACGAGGAACGCAAAAGCCGGGTTGCTTGATCCGTGTCGCCTTCCGCTAAAATCCCCACTGGTACCTTGGCCTTCATTCATTGTTCCGTCTTCCGCATTGATTCGTTCTGTCGTTCATCCTTCCCTGTCTTCTCACATTTTTCCTTTTTCTCTTTTTATGACAATATTTTCAGCGGTATCCTTTTCTGTGATACCAACCAACTGAGCGCGAGCACGGCAAATTGAGCGCTACCCAAATGAACGTTGTTTGAAAGCAGTGTAAAATGATTCGCCTACACGCGCGTTCGAAATTTTTAAACTGGACCTATTGTCAATTGTAACATTTCACTCAAGGATTTTATAAATCCCCTTGTGTTTCTGTCTTGACAGCATCAGAAATTCGTTTCCGTATAGGATGTGTTGGGTACCCAAAGAAGTGTTTGCACAAATAAAGCTTGATAATAATGCAGGCGTACTCTCAAAAATGAAATTCAAGGGACAAGAAAAAAGTATTGTAAGAGAATTTTTTGCAGAAACCCCGCATAACACGCGGATTGAACCCAATAAACCCATGGAACAACTTTGTTTTACAGAGAAAATCGTTCTATAAACGAGATCGTGTTGTCGGATATAATAGTTCACCTGCATAGTTAATTGGTCATCGCTGAGATTTCAGACATTCGATGCGCATGAAAATATTTGAGTGTTCTTTCATACGATTATATGAGTGATGATATAGAGACAATAAGCGAAGTCAAATAGCGAGGTTTTAGAGCTGATGGCTCAGTTGAAAGTCGCTCAGTTTTTCCCTGCATGGCGCTCAGTTGGTCTGCGCTCAGTGTGGGCCATGGCGCTCACTTGTCCTCACACTTTTCTGTTCACTTTTCCATGCTGCTGCTACCGGCTTTCCACGCAATCAGGTGCTGCTGAGCTTATAGGCCAGAAGAGACAGGCCTGGCCCTGATTACGTCCGCCTGCAACAAGAGCCGGTCTTATACATACATACCCCTCCTCATATATATGGACTGATTGTCGACCCTTTTCTTGTTAAGCCTGATTCTTGTTTTTTCGCTGTTCCTTACGGCCGGAAATACGACTGTGGTTGATTTTATTTCCGATTATGTTGATCACTTTGTAGGGCAAAGCCCACAAAGAGTGAACATTATAAATGAGAAATAATCGAGAAACACAATCCGCAGGGGAATTTGGCAGGGGATACTTTGGTAAGTATTTCAAAAGAACAGAGTATGAAATTGTATTTCACTTTTTAGCAATTCAAGATCAAGTAATTCTATCCAAACGCTACAAGACAACAAACGCAGCTGCTCAAAAATGGTGGGGGGAAATGTGGAGGTGTGAGGGGGTTATTGCGTAACAGGGAAATTCCGTAGAATTTCCCGATCACGTATTGTTTGTTTTCGTTTTTTTAAAGCTCGTTATTTAATTTAAGGGATATTCGCATGCACGGGACGACTATTATACCTTACAGTACACTTCACGTGGTTCCGGGCGGCGGGTGGAAAGTCTTGACAGCTGATCGGATTTTACTCATCGTCGCCGGGTAATTGAAACCTGGATTTCCGAGAATATGTTGCAATTTTTTAATTTGATTTTCAAAAGTGCGCTGCGGAATTGAAATTCACGATTCCCGAAAACATCTTGGCGAAGGTATGGCAGAAATCGCTAGAGACATGTGAATGAGGACATAGCAGATTTGAGTTATCAATTCACCACATTGTTTGAGCAATTTACGATGCCAAATTTCTTCGCTTCACATAAAAGTCTGTGTATGCTTGGAGACTACTCTTGGAAAGTCTGGTACAGTCACCTGTTTTTGTTTCACGAGCTTCAAACTTGGTAGTTTCCTGGAGACGAATAATTGCCAGCTGTCACTCTTTGAAGAACATGTTTGTCATTCATATCTCACGGAAAATCAGTGCTTGAGTTCTTTACTTGGTGAAGCATTCATTTATGTGGATATATTCTACATCATAACAAACGTGAGAAACCCTTTTCCTTTTTGAGCTCAATTGCTTCTTGCATTTATTTTCGTCGTGTCGTGAAGAGGGTAAGGTCAGAATTATTTCAGAATCCCAGGAAGAATGAAAAAGAATATAAAAAAATTATGTTCTTGAATGGATGCATTATTTAAATTGGTGGATCTAGGAGTATGTAATTGAAAGAGAAAAAAGGTTATGCGTATGCCGCAAAAGATCATAGAATGTTCTTATTCTCGGTTTTCAGGCTCTGGAACATGGTTAATTGGGTAATTTTTCTCACAATCTTCTAACATGTGGGAGGCGTTAACTATATTATGAATTATTCTTCTAGATTTGAACCCACTTTATATTTATTGTGCGATGCTGTGTTTCCCCTGATCCTTCTTGAATCAAAGTTAAACAAACACGGCGTCTAATTGAATCTGTGAAATCTTATTAGTCCCTAATTTTTACAGCTAGAAGTGCGTAATTTGTTCGAAGACGTTTGATGGGAAAGATTTTGAAAACACATCATTGCCCAATTGATGCACATTCCTATGTAAACATAATCCTTAAACGAATCTTCGTTGGGGGAAAGGTGTGTTCAAGTAAATTATGTGGTCTAAAGATATCAGCTTGGGATTATGCTTGCGTTGAATGGAATTATGTTTGAGCGATGCTGAAGTGAAGCAGGCTTTTTCGATTCTGTTATTCATGAACATCATCGAATAACATTTTCTCAGATCGTTGACCTGCGTGTTTACAGCTTATTTCTCTGTACAGGTCATCTTCCAATGAACAATCTGAGCAACAAGAGCTGATTAAAAATAAATTTACGGAGGTCCGTTGCTCAGGCACTTGTTCAATCAACTCAAAAGTTCCAGCTCTTTCCCTCTATGCAATGGATAGCACTTCCATCAAAAACTGTCGGATTTCCGTGAAAATGGCTAACGCTGGCTAGTTCACACAAAGCGTTTCTTTCCTTGATTAGTCATGATTTTTCATTTCTTTTTCGGACTTATTTTTTGATTTATTGAGCAAATCGAATAAATTGACGTGAATCACTGACGTAAAACATTGAAAGAACTTTGAGGCATGCATCGGCAATGAATAGGCAGATGAATCGAAATCAAATAACAGCAGTTCAAAATTACATGTAAATGAGTTGCAAGTAATTCTTATTTGGACCGTCAGGTGACAAAACAGGCACACACCTGCCGATGATCTCGTTTTGAATTTGATTTGGAAGACGAACGCGTCTTATAAAATAAATTTAGATAAGATACGCTGCGTTGGGACTTAGATTAAAATAAAGTATAAACAGTAAAGTTTGTCCTTTATAACTACGGAAAGGACTCCGTCACTTATTTTTACAGGTTATACAGTACCTTCTGATTAAACTTGTACTTACTGAGACGCATTAAACTTGTAAAAGCCCTAGAATGGACGGTTAAATTTCTTCTTCTAATTTTCTTTGAGAATACAATATTTTATTGGAAGAACTGCGGATTAATTTTTATCGTGCACGTTTCTCTCAATCTGCGTGAACATGTCCCTCATGAAGGTATATTATTTAATTGATTGCGACAGAGATCGTTAACTTTCATTAAAGCTTAATTTGTATCATCAATCAACCGTTCGCGCGTGGCGTAAATCCTTAAACGTTTCGAGGAACGATTTTAATGATATGTTGCCACTCTCAGCCAAGAACAAAACATTCTCGAAAGTATCTTCCCTTTGCAATCCAGGGTTCTGACGTTTTCTTGATTTTGTTTCGCGTCAATAAATAAAAATGTTCCCCAAAAATATTCTGGATTTTATTGTCTGCGGAAACTGTTGAACTTGATATTTAGGCTGAAGGGATGACATTCGTCTCCGGAGGCAACTGAATTGAAAAGACCGACGAGGACCTGCGTGCGGAAACTCGCATGGGAACGCTGATCGATCCGAATCCCGGCACAGGTTCGGATTCCCTTCTGGGGAGGTCAAAAGTACGACTGTACAGTATTCTATTTACATTTGCTGTGTGCCTCTGGGGCGGGAAGACGGGAAGCCAAGTAAGGCTTGTCAGAAACCGCTGAAGTTTTCCTCCGTATTGTTCGTACTTGTCGAGATTTTCGTGCGATAGTTTTTTTTTCTTCCTTCTTTCTATAATTCATCCTTCGGTGTAATTTTAATATACGATAGCATAAATATTCTGCGAGTGTATTGTACTAATCGCATTTTATTTTACTCATTTTAAATTCTTCGTCAGCTCTGAGGCTAAATATGGGAAGTGATCTTCGTAAAAATTATAATATCGGGATAAATATGGGCCTCGAAGGACGACTAAACATGCCCAACTTTCAAGTCAATCGTGAGAAATGAAACGGCATGTAATATTTTTATTAGACGCTTTCCTAACCAAGATTGACTTGGAAAATTTGGTGCCGAATTTTTATTTCAGCATCATCGGAAACGGATCAAGAAATCACGAATACAAGGTAAATACTGTACTTGAATAATGCTGTGATTTGCGAGAAAATCAAAGTAACTGCGCACTATACACTTTTAAAAAGAAAAATCGCATGAAAGTATTTTTCGATCTTTGAGATTTGCGGGAATATTGGCAACATGCTGGTGCAACCTTGAGTTTTTCAGATTATGTTTATTCATGATGCAGTATTTGATTACATTTGAAAAAGTCATTCGATATCAGTTCGGATACTCGAGACTCTCATATTACATTTAAAAATTCGATTCCGTAGTTTTTCAACGCAGATATCAACAAAGCACCGGAATCTTCGTTGATTAAGATAGCAGTTCAACATAATTCCAGCAAAGCATCGTCTTTACAATCATAGATTCTCATTTGTTGCCTATAATTTGAAAGTGCTGTTAATAAGGGCTAAAATTCTGATGGTACAAGTATTTAAAGAATGAGAGCTGTTTGCTTCAATGACGTGTCTGAAAAAAGCCGTCTGTGAAAACCTCTCGCAGGAAATTGAAGCAGAAGATTCATTACTTTTTCAGCATCTTTTCTTGTCGATGGAGACTCAAGAATATTTCTCTAGCTTTTCTAATCTTTTTGAAAGGTTTCCTTCTAGCTTCAATGCCTCTTAAGGAGGATCAGACAGCGGACAAATTGAGTACTGTGCATATTTATGTTCTGAGAGAATAATAGTTTAAATGGAGTCAGGTTCTATTTGCCATCAGTAACTTTTCAAAAACGTACATTCTTCTTTTTGATTGCTATCCGAACTCCCTTCTACTTTAACTAAATCAAGTTTGTCATCAAAAGTAGATCCATGATCAAGAATTCGAATTGTATGTCCTAACTTGCTACTTGAAGATGAGATAGAAGAACAATTTTTCCGTGAGAAAGGCTACGAATTTTTGTTAATTATTATTCGATGCTATTTTCTCATGAAAAAAGCAAAAATCCACGATTTCCAAAAGATTCTCTTAGAGCACCTGAAAATCATCAGTGAACCCTCAGTCATCAAAGTCCTTCGTTAAAAAATGTTACGGTTAACAAACTTTTGTCTGGAACCAATCAAGTTCGTTAACTGAGGGTCCACTGTTTATGTATACTGAACAATACGCTTATTACATACATGCGGCATTTTGTGTGAATGGAGAATAAGTGATGAAACGTTCGTGAAGCATATAAATCAACGAAGGAATGCTTCATATAGTTTAAAATATTGGGAATTTATGACCTTCTTTTGAAGGTAGGAAGCAGATGAAAATAACATTTCTGGGAATGATGGATCACACGTAACTTTCCAGAGTAGAAATAATTCACGTCATTCATTCGAAACGCAGATCCATGAGACCCTATTTTCATTAATAATTCATCTCGGGATCCACTGGCTTCATCCAGAACATTTCTAGAGACGGGAAGAGGTTCAGGGTGCCCGAATAAAAAAAGAGAAGATCACGAAAACACGTTCAACTCGGTGCTGATCTCTTCAACGTTCCATTAATCCCTTCTCTCGTTTTTTCCCCTTAAAATCATTGAAAACATGACTGAACACGTGTAGTAAATAATTTAAGTTGTTGACGATTCTGTTCCTTTTACTACATATATGCTCAAAAATAAGGCGCCGTAGATTATACGACGTCACTCCCCTTTTTTGTATTTCAAGAA